CTGCATCCATTCTGCGGAATGAAATTCTAACACTCCTTTTCTTCCATGAACTGTTCAATTTCTTCTCGTAAATCAAAGAAACGAGGGAACAGCACCTCGGCTTAACCATCTTACCTCAGTGTGGTATGGCAGGCCATAGATGTGGTCTTTCTCTCTGAGAAGGCTGTCAAACTGACGGTGATTCAGGCTTCTGGATCGGATGAAATTAACAGTTTGGATGACCACCTTCATGACGTTATCCATCTTTAATGACTTGCAACACAAAGCCTCCTGGTGCAAAATAGTGAAAAGTCAAAAAATCACGTCCTCCATTTGCAGATTGCACTTTCTCTCTGAACTTTGTCACAACGCCTGCTTTTTTCCCGATCATTGAGGGCGCACCATCTGTAGCCGGGCTGACAGCGCGGGACCAGTCCACTCCGACCCTGTCCAGCGCGTCGATGAGTGCGGTGAAAATATCAGCTGCTGTCGTTGTATCTGTCATCGGCACCAACTCCACAAACTCCTCGGTGACGGTCAATGTGTCATCAACTCCGTGGATGAAAATGGCCAGTTGTGCAACATCTGTAATGTCCGTGCTTTCATCAATTGCAACCGAAAACGCAATAAATGACTTTACTTTTTGCTTCAACTGGCTGTCCAAATCCACTGAAAGATCGGAAATCCTGTCTGCAACTATGTTTCTTGTCAGGCTGATATTTACAAAAGCCTGACGCTTTTCAGGGCACACAAACTCCGCTGCCTTCATCATGCATGTTTTTACAAATTCACCCTCACTAAATGGTTTTGAAGCCACTGCGATTTCATTAGCAATGAGTTAGCTAGCTTTCACTGCAGCGTCACTGATGTCTCGGCTGTGAGTAAACACAGACTGCTGTTTCTTCAGACCCGCCAATAGTTCATTCACCTTCTCTCTTCTCCGCTGTCCTTGAAAGTTGTCATATTTGTCGGCATGAAGACTCACATAGTGGCGACGAAGGTTATATTCTTTCAGCACTGCAACATGCTGTGAACACACCAAACATACAGCTTTCCCATTGAATTCCGTGAATAAATAGGAGGATGACCATTTTTCTTGGAACACTCTGCACTCTGCGTCCACTTTTCTCTTTTTTGACAGAGACATATTGGGGCAATGAGGTTGCCAAAGCACATAATGTTAAAAGTAGAAGCCGTAATAAATATCGCGGGCAAAACAAAGTAGCTCATCCGGACTGGCTGCACGTGCTTGACGTACTTGCTCTGCCCCGGTATAAACAGTTTGCTTGCTTAACACAATTGCTATTGCGCCATCCAGTGGACGCAATTGGAACAGCAGTTTATTTTATTGAAAAATTGCAGCGCATTTTTATACTTTACAAAATCATCTCACGGGCCGGATTAAACCCGTTTGCGGGCCTGATCCGGCCCGCGGGCCGGACGTTTGACACCCCTGACCTAGATCCATCCTCTCACACTACCTGCGACTGGACTTCCTCGTTCTAAACAGATGCTTCAGCTTTATAGCCCATGTGACATGTCTGGCTTTCCCCTTCTGTCTGTGCCTAAATCTTGGGAGGAAAAAAGTCTCCCATGTTAGCTACCTCCGGCTACATAGTGAAACAGCTGCCCAGTGGGAAGCAACTCACGTCGGCAAGCACCTCGGTACACCATCGGGGCACTGGTCATTCGCACCGGCTTGTCGTCGTGCTCCCGAGGGCTGTAACGTCGTCGTCGTGCATCCCGAGGGCTGTAACGTTAGCTATAACGCTAGTCACTGTGACATACAGATGGTGAACAATTTCACAAGTTCTCTCCCTCGCGGATCGAAGTAAACATACCTTTCTTATGAAAATTGTAATCAGTGCTCGGCTGTTGTTGCCAGCTAGCCAGCATAACTCGCTGGCTTGTTCAAAGTCTAAATTAAGAGCGAGAGTGTGACATCCCTTTGACATACTCTTATTTCACCTTTGAGTTGGATGCTTATCTCACTATGCATGTTTTCAGATTCTGTTCAAATGTTCTCAAACGAGCATTCTGAGATGTTTTTATGCATGTGACCAACTGGGTTCGACTATGGGTGTCTGCACCACAAGACTAATAATCGTCATCAACAGATATCATCAGTACAGAAGCTGTCTTCATTTCTCAGATGATCAAGAGTATGGAAACTCCTCTGCCTCAAAGAAAACCGTGGGGAGACAATTGACTTACTACATTTATTTAATGATATTATCTATTATGAATAAAAACAGATTTAAAAAATCCTTAACCCCACAATCCCCACCATATCTGTTCATCCCTGGGAAGCTAGCTGCCTGATCAAAGTCAAAAACATTTAATCTTTAATATATTCACAAAAAATTGACATCCCACTTTCACCTATGGTACTTTATTTTGCTACAAAAAAGAGGGAAAAAGTTCACAATTCACATCAGAAAAATAAGGAAATAAAACAGTTTTTTTTTTTTCAAACAGTGTGGACAAATGTCAACTTCTTGACAAGTGAAAGTCAGTAAATGGTCAACATAAGTTAAGTGGCTATCACTTTTACCATTAGTCTCCTCAGTTAATTATTGTCCCCATTAGTATTACCTCTGCTATCAAGATTAAGTGTACAAGAGGCAAACTCAATTTGAGTTTTTGACTCATTAAAATTAGAATAGTATTATGAGCCATTTACTTGCTCAACTTTCTTTTGCAAAAATATAATTCTTCCAAGATCTGTAGTATTATGTACGAACCATTAGGAAGGGCTGTGTGGGTGCACTAAATTTAAAGACAGACAGTCCCGGGTCGTGTTCATTCGGCACCAAATGGAAAAAAAACACAGAATCACAGAGTATTTGTTCAATAAGGAATACCCATTTGTGTTTTCCTGTTTTTAAAACTTTTTGCTACGGTGAGCATGCCCTTTAGATGGGACAGAAAGCAGCACAGGTCCTAATCCAGGCACTTGTCATCTCCCGTCTGGATTACTGCAACTCGCTGTTGGCTGGGCTCCCTGCCTGTGCCATTAAACCCCTACAATTTATCCAGAACGCCGCAGCCCGTCTGGTGTTCGACCTTCCCAAGTTCTCTCATGTCACCCCGCTCCTCCGCACACTCCACTGGCTTCCAGTTGAGGCTCGCATCTACTACAAGACCATGGTGCTTGCCTACGGAGCTGTGAGGGGAACGGCACCTTACCTTCAGGCTCTGATCAGACCCTACACCCAAACGAGGGCACTACGTTCATCCACCTCTGGCCTGCTAGCTCCCCTACCTCTACAGAAGCACAGTTCCCGCTCAGCCCAGTCAAAGCTATTTGCTGCTCTGGCACCCCAATGGTGGAACAAGCTCCCCCACGACGCCAGGACAGCGGAGTCACTGACCACCTTCCGGAGACACTTGAAACCTCTTTAAGGAATACCCCCCCCCCCCCAATAAAAAAGAAGAAGAAATAAAGTGGTTGTCCCACTTGCTATCATAAGTTGAATGCACCAATTTGTAAGTCGCTCTGGATAAGAGCGTCTGCTAAATGATGTACAGTAAATGTAAATGACTGAAGGATCTGGAATCTTCAGAACAACAAAGCACCAAAGATGAAACACACTCACACAAAGCTATATTGGGACTTGGTCATCACACTTCAAGTCTGGTACTATGATGAGCCATTCAACTACCAGACCACTTACTGCTAGCCTGGTCCCAGATCTGCTTGTGCTGTCTTGCCAACTCCTCCTGACAATGACCAAGATAGTTGGCAAGATAGCACAAACAGATCTGGGACCATGCTTACTTACTGCAGTTGATCTCCCCAACAGCTTTTCAATGTACTGAGGGATCTACATGATCAGTTTAAAGACAACTAATAGTTTTAGAAATCAAACTCATAGTTTATAGCATGAAAAAGGGCTTCTCCTCATACAGAGACAAAACCATATTTAAAACTATTGGACAGTATTATGACTCCTCGCAGCAGTGATCCAATTAATTTAGAGCAGATTAGAATAGACCTGAGCACCATTTAATTCATAGTTTAAAAACATGATTCTACCTATCTCTATTATTAATACTACAGTGTATATTCAAAATCCATTCAGAAATACTTGTAATTAATTGTAGATATTTCCGTAATTAGTAGCATTTCTTTGTGCTTGAAATAGTGGGAGGGCACTAAGCAGGGTTGGGGTCAATTCCATTTCAATTCAGGAAGTACACTCCAATTCCCATTCTCTTCAAAGCTTTTTATGAGGAACCTTTGGAATTGGAATTGTGTTTACTTTCTGAATTGACTGGAATTTAAATGGATTTGACCTCAACCCTGGCACTATGCAAGTTATGCCTGGCACAACAGACACCCCGAAAACTACAACCATGTCCTTCAAAAACTACAACCATGTCCTTCAAAAACTACAACCATGTCCTTCAAAAACTACAACCATGTTCTTCAAAAACTACAACCATGTCCTTCAAAAACTACAACCATGTCCTTCAGAAACTACAACCATGCATGTGACCTGTCCTCACGATATCACATGGGAGTTCTATCTACACACATAAGTGAAAAATACACACAAAGAATACACAAAATGCACTTCACACTATGATTAAAAACGACTTAATAAAAACGAGTCTATTCAGACTGTCATGACAAGACAGTGTTGGTTTGTTTTCCAGGAAGCTGGTGTTGATTAGGTTGAATGCCCCTCTTTTCTCTCCTTAGCGGGGGCGAGGAGAAGTTAACAAGGAGGGGACAGGGTCAGACAGTCTACCAGCCCAGATTAAAAGTCAGTCAGTCCTCCAAGATAGGCAACCATGTATAAAAAGATGAAGATGGGGTTGCTGACCAAATGAAGCGATGGGGGGGGAGATAGTGAGCTGTGGATAGCAAAACAGGGCATGGCCAGGTCTCTTGACCAAGAGGTCTTTTGACCTCAATTGGACAGCCTGGTAAAATAGTGGTACAAATTATAATAAAAGAGAGCAGGGTGGAGAAGGTGCATTGCTTACATGACGCCACCCTCAGCTCCTGCACTTTAGCTGCTGCCGGCCCCGATGCCCAGCGGCACAATCACATTATCGACCATGGCATCTACCACCTTATCAACCGTGCTACACAGGGGACCCTTGGCGTTGTTTATCAAACCCTTGACGGACTGGACCTGATCTGCATCAAGGTGCTGGATGACGAAGTAGATGGAACCAGCTACAGTGATGAGCACCATGAGCTTTAGTAGGACAGAGAGGAATCCTGGCCTGGCCGGTTCTGAGCCCAGGGAGCTGCACTCAGAGTGAGACTCTGTGTAGAGTGGAGCGCTCCAGGAGAGACTCATTCAGCCAGTAGTTGCTGGGTTTCAGCGGTCGGCCAGCCGCGCCGCGGATCGATCTCCTGCAGGTGGCGCTGGGGAGAGAGGAGGATTAGAGGATGATGTGACAAAGTGATTTCTGACAAGTCATGTTTAACAACTGCTGTAAAGATTTGACTGGTAAGTACCCCTGTGTTCTTGGAGCCATACACATAAAAAATGCATTTTGGTCAGATCTAGAGATGGGATCTGTCTTAGTTTGACCAAAAGTGAAAGGTTCCACATACTAGTGATATGGCCTAAAAAGGTCTTACCTGATGCCTATGGGTGAAAGGATCTCATTAGCGAGAATCTCCTCAACATTCTCCCCCGTCTTCTTAGGGGTCTGGTCACCAGTTGCTAGACTCTCCTCCACCACCTGTGAACATTGACAATGACAACAGATGATTGCGAGGTTGGGGTTTATGAGTGCAAGATAAGATTATTTACATATTTGTGCTGAACTTTCTTGCTGTTGAAGACGAAAGCTGTTTTAATGTGAGAGCTCTGGTGAGTGTGATTTTGCATTGTATTTATTTAAATTAACTTGAACTTGAAGGCTTACCATGTTGCTCCGTCTGCTACTGGTCCTGATGGTGACAGGAATCTTCCCTCTGCGCATCACAGGCTTCTCCACAACAGGAACTGGCTCTGGTTCAGGAGCAGCAGTTATCTCATCTGACAGAGGCATCTAAACTGGCAGTCAAATATCAAAGTAAAAAGGATCCATTCCATTTCAATTCTAAAATTCAAATTTCCTCATTGCTTTTCAGTTTAGGCCTACTTCCTGAATTGAAATGGAATTGAAACCAACCCTGAATTAAGTATCTTTGTTTAAGTGTGCTGCTTAATTAATGGTGCATGTTCTTGTGCAGTTGTAACTAATATCTAATCTCACCTTCCTCCTTGTCACTGTACTGGTCAGAGAGTGTGTTGCCGTTCTGGATGCTGTCTGCCTTGGCTGCTGCAGCGGTAACTGTGGCAGTCTCAAGATAGGCTAGGGGTAGCCTCAGCGGCAGCTGTATCCAGTAGCTTCTGAAGCTTCTTCTCATAAAGCTTGCGGGTGCAGCCTGAAGACAAGGGGAAACAAGTTAGAGATTAAGTGAAGGTGGTACATTTAGTCAAGGATCTCTCACTGAATGCTTGAGTCTGTTGGTGCATCTCAATAGTCTAAAGTGCCTTCCTCTTCTTGTCTCATTTCCATCATCTGCACAGATGTACAAGAACTGAAGAGGTGAAAGCTTATCTTCTCAGATCAATGCAGATGAAGTAGCGGAGCAAGGCAAGGAGAGGAAGCCACTTTAAGACACACCCTGAGTAAAACATAAGGAAGACTCACCAACTATGGGTCCAGCATTGACTCCATGCTTCAACAGCTCATCTTTTAAGCCTGCATCTGTAAGGTCTGTCACTTCCACTCCTTCTGACTGAGGCTTGTCAGTCTTCCTGGTGGCTTTCTGTGGATGGATGGATTATGGGTGTCAATTCATAGACCTGGGTAATACGTTTATCTAGAGACCAAAGATTAGCCTATCTCTGTCTTAACTAAGATTATCTAGAAAGAACACAGACATTAGAGAACCAATGCAAGGCATGAGTAAAGCCCTATTCAGACCTGATTAGTTTTACTGGGGGAGGTCGGATAATGTAATTATGTGCATGAGCACAAAACACCACATCTGTAATTTTAGTCCCGCCCGAATCTACAATCTCAGTCATTTTACATGTCAGGAGAGTAATAATTCCAGCCAGAATAACCTAGTGTTTTTTGGCGAAGTCCAAGGTCCTCTGATAATACTAGTCCCGTGCGAATTGACCTCCCTGTGTTTTGAGAGAAATGTCTGACTTTGACAGGTGTTGCTGGCGGTTTGAGCAAGAAAACAATAACTGATTTGATCAATTGAACAAAGTGCTGCACATAAGCTATATATGAATGGCCTACATGTATCAACTTTCACAGTGAATGCTTTTGTTTATATGTTTTGTGGGTATGAATTGAATATTGCCAAATGGATCAGTAAAACATATTGTGCCTATTTAATGCAACCCTTGCTGTTAATAGATCGCAAAGCAGCACACAACTGACCTAAACGTTTGGAAATTATAAATTAACTTTCTCACACATAGCCTTAAAACGTATCTCAAGTGCAAGTGCACTGTTTAGCTCACATCCGAAGGCTGAGGGGCATTTAGGAAGTACTGCGGATCGATTATTATGACACTATACCAAAGATGGTTTGGTATGGTTTAGAAACCAAGCTCGAGTTATCAGTGTGGCACTATCAGCTGGACATGTTGAAATATCTTCACGGCTACAATAAAAACCTGCATGCTTCCGTCATAACTGTCAATTGATATTATATATATAAACAAGTAAGAATTACTGGGGACAGTTTGGAAAAAAACGAATCCCTTCCCGAAACGTCCTCTGGAATAACGGACATTCTGGAGTAATAATTCCATAACCAACGTTCTCTATACTTGTCCCGTGCGAATATGGTTTAAGAGGGAAAGAAACAGGAAGTGGATATTTAACTGAATAACATTATATGGAAAGGCAACAATCATTTAACACAGGTAACTAGTGATTTCATGCATTATGATTAACATTACAAAATCAATTCATAGCACTGTAATGACCAATAATAATATATTCATAACTTACTCTTCCAGAAATACTATTGTTGGAGACTACAGGGGCAGGTAGTTCTTCATCACTGGAGAACATGTCTGTAGGTGGACTTTTCTGGTTCAGAACGGTCAAGTTCTTCAAGTACAATTGAACATATACATTTTTCTTCTGGTCGGAGATGGGAAGGGGCACATTGTTGGCCGTGAGCTCACTTTTGAGTTTATCCTTCGTGAGAATTGACGGATCTTCGAGAAATTCCGCCATGCCCGTTTCCTTTCTCGTAGCTAAAAACTGTAGGTGGGTGTAATTTAGCTAGCAAGTAATGCTTAAATTGAGCAGTTAGCAAGCTCGGTCGCTAACAACAACAAGGAAACGTGCAGAGTATGTCGGAAAACGAAAAGACTGGTGCCCAGCAACGATTATTTAGCTATGAGCTAGCTATCCGGTTAAACTTTACTCACTTATTTTTTATATTAGATATATTCACTTTCCATCGCTTGTCCCGGCTGAGATTATTTTGTTAAAATACAGCTGCACTGTAATGGTATATTAAAACTGAACAAGTAAATACGGATTTAAACTATTTAAAGAACGGTATTAGCTAAACCCCGGCCCATTTGCTACTTCTCTGTCCGGCGGCATACAAAGAGGAGAGCTATTGGACGTTAGACCTCAAGAAACTAGATGGTGATTGGTCGGTCTTGAAAAAAACAAACGCACCCTCCAAAAAGAAAGAGCCCTGTGGAGCTTTGAACATCAGTAGGCGTAGTCAGCAGTCAAAATATAGTATGTTGAATTCTGCCCAGAATTTCTGGATTTCTGCCCAGATGGATATTGGCATAGTTAAAAGTTATTTATAATTACATTTCCAATTTTCAATTTCATAACACTTATAAAACTGCAACCCCATCTGAAGATGGCAGTGTTATCCACCATATGGTTGCCTGTTAGTATTCGTGAGGCAGGCCACTAAGCACTTCACATTTCACAGACCATAAGTGACAAAGGAAAGCTGTTACTATAAACAGTGTTACATTAAACATTTCAAACTTTGTTTGATACAGGCGTACATTGGAATATTATTAATATTATGTACAAGCTGGTCAGATCGTTCTGAAAGATACATTATAAATAAAGTTAAGAGGTCACTAAGGTCCTTTCAGACCTTATCTCACACGGAAATGTCCATGACCAATTTGATCTGCTGGCTGCTGCATTTCCAGGCAGAATGTATGCAGCCATTTCTTGAGAGAGAGAGAGAGAGAGAGAGAGCGAAGAAGGGGGCCATAAAAAATATTTCTGAGGACTGTCTGGCTGGTCCTGACAGGCTTTTAAACTCTGTGGTGGTGAGGGCCCTATAAGTTGCCATAGTGACAGTGGTTTGAGGTGGCAGAGTGTTGCCCCCTACCACCTGACCTTCAACTAGACCTGGGTTGCGTCCCAAATGGGCTCTGGTCAAAAGTAGTGCACAGGGAATAGGGTGCCATTTGGGATGCAACCTTGCCTTTCTGGGATGCAACCTTGCCTTTCTGGGATGCCGCTGCAGTAGAAACCAAGCAATGGATCCCCAGCCCACCTCAGTCCTCAGCCTCAAACCACACCGAATACAGTGCTTGAAGTTTATAGTTCAAGTTTTCCATAGCCGACTTGCCAATGGAGTGTAAGCGTAAAAATGTGTGAGCCCTTGAGAAACACCTCTTAAGCTTTCTTTGTATGTCATTTACACAGAAAATATGAGGCGTGCCAAGAATCATAGTAAGTGCCTCAAGCATAACAGTCGTGCCCTCTGAAAGATGATCAAAGCGGAGACTGCAATTATCAACGATCACATGTTTTCATAATGAGTTAATGTAAAAATGAAATACTAGGCCTACAGTACTATGCAGAAACTGTGTGTGAATAGCTAATAATATATATTTTTCTGGATTAATGTTTATAACCTCTCGAGGCTAGATAAAGATTTTGCAGTTTTATTAACTGGGCCTCAATAATATATACACTGTAATATACAATATATTATACAACGGGTGGGTCTAAACCTGGATGCTGATGGGTTAAAACCGCATTCCAGCAGGTGTCTATTTCACAAGTTACCACCGGCTAAAGCTATGACGTTAAAATCCCTATTTACTCTGTTCCATCTCACATCCACTGTCTCATCAGCCCAGCCAGGCAATTTATAAACTTGATCTCCAGTGTAAAAAGCATCTAGACATTATCTCCCATTTCTTTTAGACTAGCAATTGGTTTTCAATAGCGGAGATTTGTATAAACCTTGCTGTCTGTCTCTCTGACATTTCCAACATTGTTTCAATATTGAAATTCGATCTCCAGCTGTCCCATAGTAATGAACGTGTAGGGGTCAGGAGTCGGGATGAAACAGACAGGCAGGCAGCTTTTCTGAGCCAATCTAAATCATGAATCAGTATAATTTTTATGGATATATACAAATAAATGTCAATAATAAAAATAAAAAATGTCAAAAAAAACTGGTAAAACGAAACGAAGTGCAGCTAGTTTGCAGTCTTTCCAGCTTCAGTTTGAAGTGATTGTGTTAGCTGTGTTGTTGGCTAGCTCCTCTGAACAACAGTGTCCTGACGAGAGAGCACATTTTCTATGCCAGGTGAAATCGTGCATCATTAGCTCATTGTTATGGATGTATCATTGTTAGCTGTAGTTGGCTTGCTGACAAGCAAGGGATAAGAATGTTGCCAGCCAGTATGGCAATAGAACATTTACTACGAACGACTGGGTCACGTCCATAGATACAGAACAAAAATAGTTAACGACTGGGTCGCGTCTCTGGCAACCGAACTGATAGAACGAACGACCAGCCGGCTTGTGTAGCAACCCTAGATTTGTGTTGGGACTATATCTTGTGGAAGGATGAAATAGTATGAATAAATTGATCAAAATAACGTTTTTAATGAAAATATGTAAATCATTATTTTAATATGTTGGTAACCCGTTGTATAAAAGTGATAATGCCCTCAAAGCTGGTGTTTGGAGGATATATTCTCAAAACACTGGCTTCTCGGGCATTATCACTTAAATATATGCCATTTAGCAGACACTTTTATCCAAAGCAACTTACAGTCATGCATCCATACATTTTATGTACGGGTGGTCCCGGGAATCGAACCCACTATCCATGCTCTACCAACTGAGCTACAGAAGTCAATAAAATGTCATAACCTGATTAAATTGTAGAAGAGTCTCTGCACACTTAGATCAACACAAATGTAATATTATAATGTTCCAGGCAGCTTTCAGACACAAAGACCTTCATCTGAGCATGCAGAGCATTTGATTGTCATCTTTTAGCTTTGTCAATGAACTTGTTTGGCTCCAAACTATAGGAGATGTTTAGGCTCTCCGTGGCCTAAAAATGTTTTGTGTAGAGACAGTTTGGTAACATTCCACTTAAAGCCTGTAGGTATAATGCATTATGTATATATATAAGACTTGTCATGGGCTTTTATGACCCCCTTATAACCTGTTGTTATCATCTTATAATGGTCCTGGCTAAAAGCCATTTGGAGTCAGTCAAAGAGAGGCATAACATTATTTTAAGCCTTATAATAAGACTTTTATAGATAGCCCAGATAATATTCACATACTCAGAAAGTCAAGAATGTAACACACTCTATAATCAAGAATGTAACAGCGTGATGGGTGGGGACTTGGTAGAGGTCACAGAGGTCTGAAATCCAACTCAAAGATCCAAAATTCCTCTAAAAATAGATTTTTGATCATTTGGAAAAAAATTGAGCACAAGACTCCAGAATCGAGCCAACTGCCGCTGCAGGAGGAGAATAGGAAAAGTCAACCTTTTACCAACCAGTGAATGTGTCTGATCCAATTCCACTGACACAACAAAATAAATACTGATGAAATTGATTGAATATGTAAGATTTCAATGGTTGAAAACTTGATGATGAATGCACTTTTATATGTTCAATGCATGGAGACAGCCAGGTAGATTGCATGAGGAATTGAGTTTACAGGTGAACAAAATGACTCTCTTTTTGCACTGTGTGAGTCCACATTCTTTTGACAATGTTAATTCATTATGTGTGTAACCAACAGGTAATCTACTAACCTTTACTTCAAACATGTTTTTCAGTATCCCAAAGCGCCCAGTTCCTGGGTTTGATTGAATAGGGCCCCTTGTGTGATCCTAATCCTGCCTGGGTGGGTTCAAAAAATTCAAATAACTGAATCAGAACGGTTGGGTGGTTGATGATTAGTGGGACAGTTTCACTGCTCCCTGCACGAACCTACAACAACAATCCCCTTAATCCACTGAGGATGTTATTAATAACTGCCAAGCTAATTAAGATCAGCCCCTCTGTCGTTTCCTGTTCCAGAGGGAGGGATGGAAGGGGGGTAGGATGTGGGCGCTGGGCGCTCTGTGTTTCACAGGAGCTGAGGAGGAGATTTGTGTGTCCTGGCCTATGAACAGCCAGCCAGCCAGTAGTGCTGTAGCTCAGTCTGCTCACACAGTATATTTTTGTCTATTGACAAAAACACTTTGTTGTGGACATTTCTCTCTGCAGGAGAAACTGAGACTCCCTCTCTTGGCCCCTCCGTTGATGCCCATTTGGCTCTCCACGTACTGGTGCCATAACAACTAAGTACTCCAGATATTTGCATTATTATTATTATTTGAGTTTTTTCCCCGTTTTGTTTGGCTGTCGAAGACAGAAAACACAGCCATGTCCGTGTGTACTGTCTGGGCTGCTTCAGTTCAGACAAATGTTAGGTGAACTGTCATGCGTCAAAATGAATGAAAAATATGTTTTTAAAATCCCTGTCGAGGCAACTGTCTCCTCATGGCGTTTTATGTAATTTAGAGGAAAACTTAATGTTGACCCAACATTTACCCAAGATGTAATATAGTCATATTTAATGAATACTAAGGTCAACACAACCATATATGCTTGGCTCCAGAGGGGATGGCTGCCGTTTTATGGACTCTTAACCAACAGTGCTATTATTTTATTTTTTTCCGCATTGTTTGTAACTTAATATCTAAGGACGTTTCTAGGTTTTGCTCGCCTGAGGTAGAATATCTCATGATAAGCTATAGACCACAATATCTACCAAGAGAGTTTTCATCTATATTCTTCGTAGCTGTCTATTTACCACCACAAACCGATGCTGGCACTAAGACCGCTCTCAATTAACTGTATATGGCCATATGCAAACAGGAAAACGCTAATCCAGAGGGGCGCTCCTAGTGGCCGGGGACTTTAATGCAG